GAAACTTCACACTTTACTTCAAGCATCTTGCAGTGTGTGCCTCTCCATTCTTCCTCCATACTCTGGGTCCTTGGTTTCCAAATGAGATGCAAAAGTTGCTCTCATCAGAAAAGAGGACTTTGGACCACTAAGCAACAGACCAGGTCTATTTTTCTTTAGCCCAGGTAGACGCTTCTGACTTTGTTTGTTGTTCAGGAGCGGCTTGATAAGAGGAATACGACATTTGAAGCCCATGTCCAGCATCCGTCTGTGTGTGATGGCTCTTGATGCACTGACTCCAGCCTCAGTCCACTCCTTGTGAAAGTCCCCAACAGTTTTGAATGGCCTTTTCCTGACAATCCTCTCCAGGCTGCTGTCATCCCTGCTGCGTGTGCACCTTTTTCTTCCACACTTTTCCCTTCCACATAACTTTCTATTAATGTGCTTTGATACAGCACTTTGGGAACATCCAACTTCTTTTGCAATTACCTTTTGAGGCTTTCCCTCCTTATGGAGGGTATCAATGATGGTTTTCTGCACATCTGTCAGGTCAGCAGTCCCCACGATTGTGATTCCTACTGAACCAGACTGAGAGACCACTTAAAGGCTCAGGAACCCTTTGCAGTTGTTATGGCTTAATTAGCTGATTAGAGTGGGACACTTTGAGCCTAGAATATTGCACCTTTTCACTATATTCTAATTTTCTGAGATTGTGGATTTGGGGTTTTCATGAGCTGTAAGCCATAATCATCACAATTATGACAAATCACGGCTTGAACTATCTTGCTTTGCATGTAATGAGTCTATCTCATATATTATTTTTACCTTTTAAGTTGCATTACTGAAATAAATGAACTTTTGCACGATATTTTAATTTTTCGAGTTTCATCTGTACTATTCAAACCTTCCAAAGGGCAAAAAACCTATCTGAGGTTTCATTGTCCTGAGCCAGTAGCTCCTCCATTCTCATTGGATCATTCATAACATGTACCCAATGGAGGAGGGAAGGAGTATTGGATGATTTCCACAGGAAAGGTATCAGCTGTCTACCAGCTGACATGAAAAAGCAGAGTGCACTAATTTTTTGTTGACATATAGACCCTGGTAAAATGAATAACACAGCAATTTCTGGGGAAGGAGAGAGTGACTCACCATAAATGTCGTTATAGACATCAAAGATTTTCTTCCATAGCGGTTTGATCCGACAGCAGTCCCACCAGATATGGGGGTAAGTACCTCTAGCGCGATTACACCGCCAGCACTTCTCAGAGACGTGGGAAAATGTGGTGGATAGAAACCGGGTCTCTCTACCACCTGGTGAGTATCTTATAATTTTTTCTCCTGGGCATAATATGATACACTGGATTTATGGATAAAATGAAAGGCCCAGGCCCAACTCCCAGCCCAGGTCCCAGTTCCATGTTGCACTGAAAGGAGGAGGATGTGAGGAGACTGAAGATTGGAGGATCTTATAAATTGTTGATATGTCTGGGGGGCTCCAAGAGAAAACACAGCTGTTCGAAATCAATAAGGGGCCGTCTAACAAGAGACGAGGAGTAAAGGCGTTTACAAAAGGCCGTAAACTGATGCGTTGTTAACTAGTCCAGCCCCGTTCTTGAAATGTCTATAATAGAGGGAGATAAAAGGTAACATGCTTGGGGCCAGGTGGAGCGATGAAATCCCCTAAAAGCTTGCAAATGACAACCTCTCTAAAAGGCAGGATTGTCAAAGAGTGGAGACAATGGTGGTCCTGCATCTATACCATATGCATAGAGTATTTGCAGTAAGAGGAGAGATGGAAGAAAAGGAAGAGTATGATTTTTCATACCCCCATAGCAAAGCCCGAAGGTCGAAAGGGGATAGTTACCTTTCAATGCCTTGGAATACGGAAATGTGAACCAGTCCAGAAGGTGTGCCAAGATCGCAGAAACATAATGGCATTCTAAATTCGGTAGACCCATTCCACCTGCAGATTTAGGTAGATGGAGGGTGCGTCACGTAAGTTTAGAAACTTATTTGCTCCATATGAAGCAGGAGCGCAAACGAAGCGTTTGAAAAAATGAGGAAGGGGGAGTTTGGGAAGCATATCCATTTTAAGAGTATTAATTCTCCCAAATCGTGGGATGGGTTTAATTATGCCATACATTCAAGTCCCTGCAAATCTGAGGCAAAACAGGGCTAAAGTTGAGTGAAAACACGTCTGGCAGGTATTTTATTGAGTGATCAGACCAATGAAAAGGGAAATTGGAGCATAGGAGTTGGATAGTGGAATGTGGAAGGGAGACATTTAGGGCCTCTATCTTGGAGTTGTGTTTAAAAATTAGTCCAACTCTTATTCAGCATCTCTGTGTCAAAGAAAACAAATGTGCAGATGTTTTCTATTAGAAAATTCTTCATTCTTTCACAAGCAAAAAACTCCTCTTCCTCCACTTAATACCCTTAAAAAAAATAAATTGCATATAGTGCATTATCCAAAACACATGATATCCAATACAAAAAACGCACTTGCAGAAATAGTGCAAATATGTGTAAAAAACACTCCACTCCACCATGTGTCCACGTCTAATCTTCTGTCATCCTTACTCGTACCCTCTTAAAATTAGGAAGAACATCCGCAAAGTCCACCTTCTTTCGTGGTTGAACGCCTATGTCCGTCCAATTTTGTATGGAAAATGTACTTCTGAAAGGAATTATATATAGTGTCATATCTTCACAATAGCATACGTGCTCCCCTCACATCAAACAAAATATTCCCAGTGTTGGTGAACACACTGACCACCACCTACTATCTTATGCACCTTACCAAATGATAAAATCCACTTGCACAAAGAGGGGGGCTCCTCTCACTCCACAGCGTATCCGATTTAGAATGGCATCAAAACGTGATAAAATAAACTACAAATAGTTTAGTAGGCAATAAATAGGGATATTGTTCTTTAATAATAAAATTGTGCTCACAAACAAGCAAGTGTGTCTTAACATAAACTCCTACTGGCAAAACTGCATGAAACAGTAAAATATAGGTGCAGCGCTTAATAAATATATAATATAAATGAATATCCAATAAAAGGCAAATAGTATATAAATTAGTCCGATAATATAAATAAATCCAGGTGAGAAATCCAAGGGTAGTGAAATCAGCAGCAGATAGACTTGTGACACCAGCCAATAGTTAAAGTGCACACTCACCTGAAGCGCATAGGAAATGCGCATGTAATATAATAACCACCAAGGTAACTCTAGGCAGGCGGGATAGGTAGGTGAACTTCAATCTAAGGGATGGTCATCAAGCCTTGGAAAATTATAGGAATCTGCTGGATCCAGAGGTCCCCTTAAGGATGAATTAGGTGCTCAGCCTGTATACAGGGTTCCTTTCCTCTGGTTGTAGAAAATCACTGGGGGTGACCTGTAAGCCTGAGCCCCCTCCGATCCGACCTCAGGTCTTAGCCAGTAAGGAGGGTGAGTCCACATACAGGCTATTGTGTACATTGCTGGATCGGAGGGGGCTTCCGGTGAGTGCGCGCACTTTAACTATTGGCTGGTGTCACAAGTCTGTCTGCTGCTGATTTCACTACCCTTGGATTTCTCACCTGAATTGATTTATTTATATTATCGGACTAATTTATATACTATTTGCCTTTTATTGGATATTCATTTAGATTATATATTTTAAGCGCTGCACCTATATTTTACTGATGTATTTGAAGGTTTATCTTGGTACTTTTTTGGTGTTTAGCAGCTTCTTTAAGGAGCGCTCACTATTTATACTACATTTTAAAACTGCATGAAAGCCTTTTCCAAAATGGCCACTCCGTAATTTCCGGTTTACGTCCGACATCACGTTCTGATGAGTTTCGTCACTTCCGACTTCATGTGAGGCTGTGCACTTAGGAATCACAGCCATTTACATACCCCTGTGTCCTATCTGTATCGGCAGAACGTGCCATTTTGCCACCTGGCGGTATCAGTGTCCTTTATATTATTCTTAGCGACCCCACAATAAGTACCAAACTAAAAATGTGAATGTTATACACATAATGCGGATCTAATCAATACATTAGTCATATTCTATACTACTAAAATGCAGCAGGTTGCCATCTAGTGGTGTTAATGTAAATCTTCCCAACAAATATGTAATGTATACAACCTTTGCAAGTCCATTAAACTGCAACATAATTTAAAATAAATAACTACATCGATTATAGCTCATATAACTACCTAAATTACAATACATCTACGACTGCTTTTATTGGAATAAATAAAACAAAATAAAATCGAGGTATATGTAAAATTTTAAATCTGGAATCACTAACTCACATAAACTTAATCTAATAAAAAAAACAATCTTTAATCACATTTTTTACCCAAAAAAATAATATCCGAAAGGTCCGAGGTATGGCACCAGCACTAATTATCTCATCAACTGAATATCGAAATACTTATATTCCGACCTAGAATTCTCAGTTATTATATTCTAAAATATTCCTATTTATGTAAAGCTAAAAATACCGTATTTTTCGCTCCATTAGACTCACCTGACCATAAGACGCACCTAGGTTTTAGAGGCGGAAAACAAGAAAAAAAATATTCTGAACCAATGGACTGCAGATACAGTACAGGAAATGACCAGAGACTGCAGACATAGTACAGGAGATGACCAGAGACTGCGGATGTACTACAGGAGATGACCAGAGACTGCAGACACAGTACAGAAGATGACCAGAGACTGCGGACACAGTACAGGAGATGACCAGAGACTGCGGACACAGTACAGGAGATGACCAGAGACTGCGGACACAGTACAGGAGATGACCAGAGACTGCGGACACAGTACAGGAGATGACCAGAGACTGCGGACACAGTACAGGAGATGACCAGAGACTGCGGACACAGTACAGGAGATGACCAGAGACTGCGGACACAGTACAGGAGATGACCAGAGACTGCGGACACAGTACAGGAGATGACCAGAGACTGCGGACACAGTACAGGAGATGACCAGAGACTGCGGACACAGTACAGGAGATGACCAGAGACTGCGGACACAGTACAGGAGATGACCAGAGACTGCGGACACAGTACAGGAGATGACCAGAGACTGCGGACACAGTACAGGAGATGACCAGGGACTGCGGACACAGTACAGGAGATGACCAGGGACTGCGGACACAGTACAGGAGATGACCATGGACTGCGGACACAGTACAGGAGATGACCAGAGACTGCGGACACAGTACAGGAGATGACCAGAGACTGCGGACACAGTACAGGAGATGACCAGAGACTGCGGACACAGTACAGGAGATGACCAGGGACTGCGGACACAGTACAGGAGATGACCAGGGACTGCGGACACAGTACAGGGGATGACCAGAGACTGCGGACACAGTACAGGGGATGACCAGAGACTGCAGACAGTACAGGGGATGACTAAGAGACTGCAGACAGTACAGGGGATGACTAAGAGACTGCAGACCTTTTGGGGAGGGAGGGGGAGCGGGTACCTGAAATTGACAGTTGTCCTCCCTTTAGTGATAGCCGGGTGCCCACTGCGCATGCGCGAGAAGCGCTGCGCTTTGTGATTGGTCCGGCGTCATCCGAGAGCCCACACTAAAGATACTGGTGCGGGAAGACTGACTCAAAGACTGTTGATAATATTGGTGGACTGAGGATGTGACAAATATTACTAGTTTAAGGCTCCATGCACACTGGGCGTTTTAATAACGCTAGAAACGTTAGCTGTGTAAAGTCATGTTAAAAACGTGAGTTTTTCAGCGTTTTTGTATTAGTGTTTTGCTGCATTTTTTTGCGTTTGCGTTTTTTCGAGTTTTTTTTTAACCCAAAAAATTTTTTTTAGTCAGAAGTCCAAAAATGCTGGTTTAACGCATTTTACTGTGTTTTTCAGCGTTCGTTTTTACAGCTAAAAACTCCTCTAGAAACCCACTAGTCCTGAGGGTTTTTCCAGCCATAAAACATCCCTGCCAAAAAACGTTGATTACAGTCTGTGTGCATGGACACATAGGATAACATGCTAGGAGTTTACTGGCTGTAGAACAAAAACATCAAAAGCCAAAAACAGCACCTGTAAAAACGTCCAGTGTCCATGAGAACTAAAGCAGAAATTCTTCTAGGTGAAGATCCAGCTCAAATGGTAAAAAGATAAGGACAAGCCTTAGTTAAGAAAAAGCCATTTCCCATAGCAACAGGTGGGCGTACATTGCGGGGGGATTAAAGATCCAGAGAATATTTGGCCCAGTGGTCTCAGAGATGTGTGTAAGTTAGCATGCAGGGAGATGCTGCCTTGATGAGTCATGAAGCTGGCGTATTGCTTGCAGTGTAGTGAGCAGATATATATTTATAACAGAAGCATGAAACTGCATTTTTGGACCCATTAAGTTCACACTGTTATGGGCTGTGTGGCCCACGTTTTGCTCAAGCATGGCAGCCCATTCATTTGAATGGGCCGCTGTGCCCATGTTTCCCATACAAAAAAAGGTGCATACAACTTTTTAAAAATGCGGCTGCAGGGAAACCGCATGGTCAAAAACACCATGTGGTTTCCACACCCGCAATTGCGCTGCGGACTAAGATGGCAGCCCTGCACGTCTCATAAGAGCAGTGCGATTCGGCTGCGAGAACAGATACGATTTTTCACACACACCCGCAGCCAGTCTGCATAATGTGAACTAAAAAGCCATAGGGTCATCCAGTAATAGTCAGTACAGCAAATTCTTTCCCCAAGTATAGTATCTTACAGAGAAAGTTTTGACTCTGGCATAACAGAAACACATTATGGGATTGATTTACTAAAACTGGAGAGTGCAAAAAGTGGTGCAGCTGTGCATGGCTGCCAGTCATCTTCTAACTTCAGCCTGTTCAATTAAGCTTTGACAAAAAAAAAAAAAAAAAATGAAGATAATTGGTTTCCATTAGGGCTGAACAACTAATCAACATAATCGATCATGAAAATAGTTGTCAACTACACTGTATTGCTAAAGGTATTGGGACGCCTACCTTTACAGGCACATGACCTTTATTGGCATCCCAGTCTTAGTCCGTAGGATTCACTATTGAGTTGGCCCACCCTTTGCAGCTATAACAGTGTCAACTCTTCTGGGAAGGCTGTCCATAAGATTTAGGAGTGCGTCTATGGGAATGCTGACCATTCTTCCAGAAGTGCATTTGTGAGGTCAGGCACTGATGTCAGACGAGAAGGCCTGGCTCACAGTCTCCGCTCTAATTTATCCCAAAGGTGTTCTGTCAGGTTGAGGTCAGGACTGTGCAGGCCCGTCAAGTTCCTCCACCCTAAACGTGCTCATCCATGTTTTTACGGACCTTGCTTTGTGCACTGGTGCAGTCATGTTGGAACAGGAAGGGTCATCCAAAAACGGTTCTCACAAAGTTGGGACCATGAAATTGTCCAAAATGTCTATTATGCCGACGCCTTAAGAGTTCCCTTCACTGGAACTAAGGGGCCAAGCTCCACCCCTAAAAAAACAACCCCACACCATAATTTCCCCTCCACCAAACTTGGCACAATGCAGTCAGGCAAGTACCATTCATCTGGCAACCGCCAAAGCCCGAAATGTCCATCGGATTGCCAGACAGAGAAGCGTGATTCGTCACTCCAGAGAACATGTCTCCATTGTTCTAGAGTCCAGTGGCGGCTTGCTTTACACCACTACATGCAACACCTTGCATTTCACTTGGTGATGCAAAGGCTTGGATGCAGCTGCTCAGCCATGGTAATCCATTCCATGAAGCTCTCTACACACTGTTGTTCTAATCTCAAGTGCAAAGTGAAACAAGAAAGCGCACCAACCTTGCGCATTACCTCAGTAAACCATAATTTTATTAAATTCAGAATGATACTCACAAACAACTAAGTAAATCAAGCATGTAAGTCCTTAAAGGAACTTTAGAAATGTGAAGCCTGTGCACGTCACATCGTAGGGGTAGACACTGAGTACGGCTGACACGTTTCGAAGGGCTTCCCTTCATCAGAGCTCTGATGAAGAAGGGATGCCCTTCGAAATGCGTCAGCCGTACTCCGTGTTTACCCCTACGATGTGACTCGCACAGGCTTCACATTTCTAAAGTTACTTTGAGCACTTACATGCTTGATTTACTACATTGTGAGTATTATTCTGAATTTAATAAAATTATGGTTTGCTGAGGTAATGTGCAAGGTTGGTGCACTTTCTTTTTTGTTTCACTTTGCAGTACTGGTCAGGCTTCCCCAGCCTTGTTTAGAGCTGCACAACCCTATATGCATTGGTGGTCGAATTTTTCAAGTTCTGGTTCCATCCATCCACACTTATTCTGGGTCATAGAGTGCAGGAGAGGTCTTTTCTGGTTCTAATCTGAAGGCCACACAAAGTTTGGAGGTCTTTTAGCTATTGAGTCTGCAGACAGTTGGCGACTTCTGTGCGCTTCAGCATGTGCTGACCCTGCTCTGTCATTTTACGTGGCCTACCACTTCGTGGCTGAGTTGCTGTTGTTCCCATTTGCTTCCACTTTGTTATGATACCACCAACAGTTGACCGTGGAATATTTAGTAGCAAGAAAATTTCACAGATGGACTTATTGCACAGGTGGCAACCTATCACGGTAGTACGCTTGAATTCACTGAGCTCCTGAGAGCGACCCATTCTTTCACAAATGTTTGTAGAAGCAGTCTGCATGCCTAGATGCTTGATTTTATACACCTGTGACCATGGAGGAGATTGGAACACCTGAATCCGATGATTTGGAGGAGTGTCCCAATAATTTTGGCATTACAGTGTATTTTCATAATCAACTAGTTGGTCAGCCAACTAGTTGGCATGCTTGCAGAATGCATTATTTGTTTACATATCAGAAAGTGCAGTGCAGAACACGTACAACTCAGTACACTTTGTGCTCTGGTGCACTTGGCACAATGCAGTCAGTCAAGTACCATTCATCTGGCAACCGCCAAACCCGACATGTCCATCGGATTGCCAGACAGATTGCCATATGCACAGTACAGGACACATACAGCTCAGTACACTGTCCATACATATCAGTAAGTGCCTCAGAATGTGAATGTATGAGGAGCAATGCCTCATGGGACATTTAGTTTTGGGCAGGAGAATTCTAACACCAGGAGTGATTCTAACACTCCGGTCACACCAATCCTGATTTTGAAATCATGCGACATTCAAAATCTGATAACATGCCGATTTAAGGTGCGATTTACATCTGGCGCAGATGTCACAAGTTAGCCTGCAGTTTCTTGTTTGTGTGTTCTTACCTCCTTGCTGCAGTGCTGTTCCTGATTCATTTCACATGTGTGGTTTGTGCTCACCTAGGGGCGGCGTCTGCTATTCTCTGGGTTTTATTTCCGTCCCTTCCATCACTTCCTGGCCCGCCTCCCAGTTTGCTTGTCTATATTAGACATGCGCAATCTATCCCACTTTGCCTGAGCAACTTCTTAGTTCTCTGAGCTCCTGTTTGCTGCAACTCCTGTATCCTGCACCTGACTACACATGTACTGGCCCCGGCTTCGATCACAGACTGTGTTTGTTTTCCGCCCATCCTGACCTCAGCTTGTTTATCGGATTTCCTGGTGTCTCCTTCCATTGTACTGTGCTCACGCAAGCAGTCTCCGCATCCTCACCTGGGGGCCGTGACCTGGTTCCAGCTTGCTGCAAGTCCATCCTCACCATCAGGGGCTATGGCGAAGAAGCAGGCTGGGGCTTAGACTCCGCATTCTGGGGAACCCCAAGTTGGCAATCTACAAGGGCTCACTACCACAGGTGCTTCACAGTTTGCTCAGGCCATGAGCTCCTCTGAGACACCACAGCCTCTCCTGGAACAACTTGGCACAGAGAGTCGATGTCCAGCAGGCCTATTGAGAACTAATTATGCACTCTCTGCAGGAACTCTCCTCCCGGTTGGATCAGCTGCAGGTTGTGTCCACTTCCTCACCGCTGTTTCGGCTCCTTTTCCGGTTCCTGCTGCTCCAACCCGCACTGTTCCTCCGGTGGAACACAGTCCTTCGAAACTCAAGCTGCCTCCACCGCCTCGCTTTTCTTGTGATCCCAAAGCATGTCGGGGCTTCATCAATCAGTGCTCAATTCACTTTGGACTAGCAGCCGACCATTTTCCTACTGACCATTCCAAGGTGGCATACATGATTTCCCTGCTTTTTGGTGAAGCAGTGGCTTGGGCCTCACCACTGTGGGAGCATCAAGATCCTACTATTTCCAGTCTCCCAGCCTTCCAGCAGGCTTTCCGTAAAACCTTCGATGTACCTGGCAGGACTTAATTTGCTGCGGGAGCTCTTCTTCTGCTTTGTCAAGGTAGCATGACTGTTGGTCAGTGTGCAATTCAGTTTCGCACCTTAGCTTTGGAACTGGCATGGAATAATGAGGCCCTTTCTGCAACCTTTTGCCAGGGTATAGCAGACCGTATTAGCATCCAAATCAATATCCGCTTCCAGGAGCGAGATCTGGAAAGGACTGGTCCACGTCGCCCCCCAGTGGGTTCATTAGCTCCTGTTTTCCAAAAATCCCCTGATCAATCTACCTCAGCAACTGTACCGGCATCCGAAGAGCCTATGCAGTTAGGCCGAATACGCCTCACTCCACAAGGGCAATCGCGTCACCTAAGACTTGGTCTATGCCTTTACTGTGGGGCTGAAGGTCATATAATTAAGTCTTGTTCAGTCCGTCTGGGAAACTCTCGAATCTAGGTCACTCTGAGGGAGGTGATCTAGACCAGAAGTGAATTCCGCCACCTTCCCTCGATTTATCATACCTGTCTCCATCCATTGGGCCCTGAATTCGTATCAGGTTTCTGCTTATGTGGACTCTGGGGCAGCTGGGAATTTCATGGAGCAATCATTGGCCTCTGAATTGGGCATTCCTCTTGTCCCCTTGATGACGCCCCTGTCAGTATCTGCAGTTGATAGCTCTACCTTGGCCTTAGGGCCTCTATGCTTCCAAACTAACTGCATAACTATGCATGTGGGTGTTCTTCATCATGAGGAAATCTCCTTCCTTATTCTCCCTAAGTCCACAAGTCCCATCATTCTTGGACTTCCATGGTTGCAGAAACACTCACCCTATCTTGACTGGAACTTTGGCTAAGTATTGTCACGGGGCTCACAATGCCATCTGACTTGTCTCCCTAAAGTGCTTCCACCTCTCTGTGTACCCGTGGCTGAGGTCACCACCTCTCCGATGCTCCCTTCGCATTATCAGGCCTTCCAAGACGTCTTTTTATAAGAAAGCTTTTATTTGCCTCTTCACCATCCCTATGATTGTGCTATTGACCTCCAACCTGGGACTTCTTCAACTCGAGGTAAAGTCTACCCTCTCTCCATTCCTGAGACTCCAGCCATGTCTGAGTACATCCAGGAAAATCTGCAGAAAGGATTTATCCATAGGTCCAATTGTCCTGCTGGGGCTGGCTTCTTCTTTCTGGAGAAGCAAGATGGTACGCACCAGCCCTGCATTGATTATAGAGGTCTCAATGCTATCATCATTAAGAATCGGTACACTTTACCTTTGATTTCCGAACTCTTTGACAGACTCCAGGATGCTCGAATTTTCACAAAGCTAGACTTCCGTGGAGCATACAATCTGGTTAGGATCTGTGAGGGTAATGAGTGGAAAACCACTTTCAATACCAGAGACGGGCATTATTAATATCCTGTAATGCCCTTTTGGCTTGTGTTATGCCCCAGCCATCTTTCAGAACTTTAATGACATTTTTTTCTGATCTCCTATATGCTTGTGTCATTGTCTATTTGGATGACATACTCATTTTTTTCTCCAGATTTAAAAACTCATCGTCAGCACTTATGTACTGTCCTTCTACGTCTTTGGGACCACCACCTGTATGCAAAGTTGGAGAAGTGCCTCTTCGAGCAAACCCAGGTTCTTTTTCTGGGCTACATAGTCACAGATAAAGGGCTGCTTATGGATCTTGCTAAACTCCAAGCCATCTCCAACTGGCCTCAGCCCTCTGGTTTGAAAGCCACGTAGCGATTCTTGGGATTCACCAACTTCTATTGCCAGTTCATTCCTGATTATTCCTTGCTGGTGGCCCCAATAACTTCTTTGACCCGGAAGGGTTCCAACGCTAGAACCTGGCCTCCTGAGGCATTCCACAAACCTCTCTGCATCTATTCTCATAAGTCCGGACATTTTCCAGCCTTTCTTCTTGGAAGAAAATGCTTCATCTTTGGGAGTTTGGGTCGTCCTCCTCCAAATGAATGATGGTAAGCTCCGACCTTGTGCCTTCTTCTCTAAGAAGCTTTCGGATGCTGAAAAGAATTACACCATCGGTGATCAGGAACTGCTGGCTATAAAGTTGGCACTGCAAGAAAGGCGACATCTTCTGGAGGGATCTCCACATCATACCCTAATTTTATAAGAACCTCCAGTATCTCCAATCCGCCCGGCGTTTGAATCCCAGACAAGTGTGATAGGCTCTTTTCTTTGCCAGATTTAACTTTGACATTACCTTCCAGCCCAGTTCCAAAAATGCCCGTACAGATGCCTTGTCCAGATCATTTGACGTTGCTGACTCTGAGTGTCATGTTGAACCGGAACCTATCATTTCTGCCAATCGTATCCTGGCCACCACTCATCTTCAGCCTAAACGCATCCCACACAGAAAGACCTTTGTGGTCCCCGCCCTTCGCTCCAAGCTACTCAAATGGGCACACGACTCAAAACTCTCTGGACATCCTGGTGTGCAGTGTACCTGTGCCTTCCTGCAGCGTCATTACTGGTGGCTCTCATTGTGGAAGGATGTTGAAGAATATGTTCAGGCTTGCTCCATTTGTGTGCAGTCGAAGTCCTCCATGTCTGTCCCAACAGGTCTTTTTACCTCTACCTGTTCCAGATGAACCTTGGCGTTGCATTTCCATGGACTTTATTTCTGAACTACCCCCTTCAGCAGGTTCCACCATTATCTGGGTGGTTGTGGACAGGTTTTATAAAATGTCACCTAACTCCACTTCCAGGACTACCTTCTGCCGTTACGTTGGCTTCCAACTTCATTAAGGAAATCTTCCGTCTTCATGGTATGCCCTCACACATTGTCTCTGATAGAGGTGTTCAATTTACAGCTCACCTCTGGAGGGCTCTGGCCACATCCTTCGGAATCAAGTTGGACTTCTCCTCAGCCTTTCATCCGCAGTCTAATGGCCAAACTGGAAGGGTCAACCAGAATGTTGAATGATATATCCGTGCCTTCATTTCAGCCCATCAGAATGATTGGGTAGACCTTCTACCCTGGGCCAGTGCCAGTACTGGTGAGTCTCCCTTTTTCATTGTGTATGATCGTAATACTTCTGTGCCATTTCCTTTTCCCATCTCTTCTGCGGTGCCCACGGCTGCAGAGACACAACCTTCATTCAATTCCATCTGAGCAGAGGTTTTCAAGAATTTGTCTGGCATCTTCCAAGTACAAAGTAGCTGCAGATTGCCATCGCCGTGTGAGTCCCAAATTTCTCCCTGGTGACAAAGTTTGGCTCTCTACCAAGATTATCCGTCTACGAAATTTGCTCCTCGTTTCATTGGTCCCTTTTACCATTCTCCGCCAGGTCAATCCTGTTGCTTTCAAACTTCGCCTCCCTTCACATCTGAGAATCCCTAATGTTTTCCATGTGTCTCTTCTGAGACTGTACATCATCAACAGGTTTTCCTGTCCTCATCGTCCTTCCCCAATAGTTAGTACTTCGGATCAGTATGAAGTCAAGCAAATCTTGGATTCCAAATTCATCATAGACCGATGTCTATACAAAACGCACCAAAAGTAGTGCATGCTCTTCTTTAGAAATCGGTACAGCTCCTACCAAGTCGGATCCGCACCATTATGACCGCTTTAATTGCAGACAATGGGGTGCAACTTCCCATGCGATTTGCAAGTCACATGGAATGCAAAACGCATGCCAAGTCACACCCAGTGTGACTGGGGACTAAGGGCAGATGTTTTTTTTTTTTTACCTTGCTATAGCAGCACTACGGAGGCAGGAGGAGTCAGACACACCAGGTGAGGGACCCCAGAAGAGAAGCATCAGGGCTGCTCTATGCAAACCACTGCGGAGAGCAGGTAAGTATGACAAGGTTGATATTAAAAAAAAAAAAAAAAAAATACAACCTCCAGGAAAGATCACCATATGAACCCAGAGAATCTGGAGGCTGGTAGACTGGAAGCAATATACGGCATTACAATTCAATTTATAGTAAAAGTTTACCAATATTGGGCATTCTATTTACAATGATTATATCAATGAAAGTCTCAGCCTTTAGTACTACTTTGATATAAAAGATTTATATCCCCCCTCCACCCTTCATATAGCTGCATGTCTGACTCCCAGTTATATACCCCGTATATCCTACCTGAGGGTATATTTATTATACATATATGATACAATATATATATATATATATATATAAATTACTTTTAATGTTTCACAATATAAATTTACCCCTTATAGTAGTGATTATCTGTTGCTTTTGTACTAAAAAGGGCTTTTTTTTTTTTTTTTTTTTTTTTTTTTTTTTTTTTTAATACCACATCTGCTGCTTCTATGTTTTATGCTGGCCATACATGTATCAATTTTTTGATGAGAATATTTCTATGAAAACTATTTGTACATTTGATGAATGAAGTTCAAAAATGTCACTTACTTTTAACATTCAATTTTAAAATGAATGTAATGTCTGAACAAAAGCCAAATACACTGTCCAACAATTTTTTTTTATCAAGAAAAGTTTTGTATTCTGCTCCTTCAAATGTTCCCGTCACTGTGGTCGAAAAAAAACTTCAATCTGACCCCACTAATGTTTAGAAAAATTGAGCAAACGTTCTTCAAATGAAAATTTTTGAGGCAAAAATCTGTTCATGTATGGGCACCATAAGTGATAGCAGGCACAGATAGCTTATCAAGCTACCTACCTATGACAAGGGAGTCTGCCGTGCGTAATATTATATTACAATGTTGTCTGAAAAACTGAAAAATAGTGTTTTAGGGCTTTTTAATTTTTTTTTTTTTTTCTTTGAATAAAATTTTGGTCTTTTGAATCTGATATGTACCAGATTCAACCTCTAAAAGTATATATATCTTCTGGCTGTATATATATCACTTCTGGCTGTTATGGATTTTATGTATTGTTCCCCAACCATATAGCTTGTTATTTATATTTACCACTGTATATCGATTTAAGAATACATTTCTTTTTTTTTATTTACATGTTCACTAAATTATACACCACATTTTATTTTGAGGTTTTTATCTGATTAATTCTTTAGATTAATCGATTATGAAAATAATCGTTAGCTGCGGCCCTAATTTCCATGCAGAGCTGCAACAGATTTTGCACTCTCCAGTTCTAGTGCATCAACTCCTATCTGTGCCATGTCTTACTAGTTGTGATGTATGCATGCACAAGGGTCATTATGTTTGCATAAAGTGCCCAAAGTCTTATGCAGAGCTTTTGTTTAAAGTGATACTGGCTTTCAGGATGCATTCTTGTACACATACTTGATATTCCATAGCCACAATTTACCATATCGCTACACAATTACAGTTCTGTTTCTTTTTAGGTACAGCACTTGGGAACCAGAGGAGAACATTTTGGATGCAAGATTGGTGTCCGCATTTGAGGACAGGTTTGTAGCTCTCCTAAAAGTTAGATAAGGTACACTGAAAGTTTTAACTTGTGCTATAGAAAACAGGTGACTAATGGCAGGCTCTGCAGCAAATGGAAGTGACTCCTACAGGTCATAGGGTGCCTTTATAATGTGCAGTGTATCACAGTAACTTTATTTTTTAAATCCGTATGATGTTTGCACATTCACTCCCGCTTGTTGTAAAGCTGTAATTCAAGAATGGCCATATAGTTTAGAGAGCTCTTAACTTTTACACTATTTATCTTTTATTCTAGGGAGAGAGAAAGGGAGATGTATGGACCGAAAAAAAGGGGTCCAAAGCCGAAAACGTTTCTTCTAAAGGTGGGACAAATCAATCATCTGCACATATTAAGGGATTTTTACTGTATAATAAACCATTCATTTCTATCAAGGGCAGTGAACTAAAGGATCAGTTTAATATTCATAGAATTTTAAGTACAAAAGCTGTATAATATGTACGTAGAATTTCAACCCACTTTCAGTGAGTCTAGGGCATCAAAGACCAACCTCCTGGGGGCTCACTCATCTCCAAGCAGCACTTGGCTACTAGGAGAATGTTGCAGGAAATAGTGCCATGTCATTAATATGGTGCTCTTCACTGCAACATGAAGGACCCACCTACTGCTGATTATAGAAAAAGGAGAAATAGACCTACTTGCATCTTGTTACAATTTACTACTCTCTCAACCCTTCCATCTTGACTGTCCCCCTATTCGTTCACTTCACTAAGTTCACATCTGTGCAGGTGTGAGTTTGTGTCCCCGAATACAGGCAGTGTGTTTGGAGACAAGCATCTGCTTCTGCACGGATGTCAAATTGGGACTAGTGGCTGTGTCCATGCATCCACTGCATCCCAATTGACAAGAATGGGACTGCCCGCACATGTATGCACAATACACCTGTGCATCATGTGCAGATGTGCAGGTAAAGATGACCCTTGCACGGGTGTATGTATTGATAAGGCCCATGTGAACAAGACCTAAGTGCATTGTGAAAGCAATGAAAAAGTAATCTTAACATTGCTACACTATAGTTCTGGCATGTGCCATGGTTGCATTGCCGAATACACCATATACTGAAGGAAAACCCTACGTACTGTACTGTATACCTATCTACTTGGTCATTGAAACGGCAACATTTTAGTGTTTGTTTAACCACTTTCGCTCCGCCCACCCGCAGTGTACAGGCAGCATCAGCAAGACCAGTGACGTACCTGTATGTCACTTCAGCCCTGTTTGCTGCCAGCACTTGCCCCAACCCCCCCCCCCCCCCACTGTAATTTCTGATCACGGTCACCTGTGATACATAGCACACAAAACCGCAGTGTTAGCAGAATCAGGCCTGATCTCTGCTAGCACTTGCAGGTGAATTTTATTGGAATGGTTCAAGCAGTCCCTAACAGCCAGTCAGATGAGAGCGAAGGGGAAGCCTCACTGGCAAAATTCCCCTTAGAATACAAACCTGTAGAAAACAGCGGCACCCTGACAGATAGCTCAGACGTTGGAGTAGAGGTCCCTGCTAAGGTCAGGCGTACCCAACCCCATGATGCTGGAGTGCTAGAAACGCATGACTTGTTGCATATGCAGCAGAGTGCCAGTACTAGTGCTGCACTACTTTTTTGGTGAACTGGTGAGCACCAGCGGCCTAGTACATCCTGGTCTTTTTCATATTAGCACTGCAGTATCACTCGGGGATGTAGCGAGTCCCATAAGTGCAGTACAAGCTGGTGCGGTGGCTAGCACAAGTAGTGTCCCGCAGCCACCAAGAATTCACACAGAGGCCTGTAGAGCTCATAGTGTCCTTCCGGACGTGCTTGCAAATCCTGATTTGCAGCCCACAGATTCTGCAACACATGTACTTCCTCCATTCATTGAACAACCCAGAATTCAGGTGGAGACAACAGATTTAACTACTCCCCTTGATTTTTTGGAGCTGTTTTTCACAGAAGATTTGAATAATTTGTGGGCCAAAGCAATTTATACGCACAACAATATATCACCGCAAACCCAAATTCAGCTCTTGCCAGGCCATTTTGCATGGAAACCGACTACGGTTTCTGAATTTAAAAATATTTTGCCCTAACCCTGAACATGGGCATCACAAAAAAGAATGAGTTGCGGTCGTATTGGTTCACAGACCCAAGTCATCATATTTGTAAAGAAGAAAAAACCTCAGCGCCCAGGACTCTCTTATTACACACACTATTCCCTGTGAGATGCTGCTGTACACAGGTGCAAAAACCAAAAAAACTTATATCAATAGATACCAGCGCAAACCCACATAATAAATTGCATCACCCAACCCTTTAAATTGGTAATTAATAAATATTCAAACTTAAACTGTGACACAAAAACATTTTTGTGTTAATGAAATAGTGATAAAAAATTAATATATATAAATGATTTTAGAATTAATAAGTCCAGTGACAAAAAAACCCAAAATAACAGTCCCGTGACAAAATTAATTATATTGTAATTTCATTGGATTCTTCCGTGCCTTTGATACCTTCACCATCCACCAGTGCAAAACCAACATTAACCACACTCACCAGATAATGGTGAGTCAAACGCCTTTCAGGGATATTAAGGGCTCCTGGACCCCCTTTGCTTTGTATAAGACCTCCAAATAATGCCTCCTCTCGGATATAGATACCTCTTCTGGTTACTCCTCTTACCGAATCCCCCAGGGAAAATCAGGAAGAAGAAAAAACCATAGTTTGATACCGTAGTGATTTCCAATCAAAATAATTTCTCCAGACCATTCATCTTTTAGCAGGATATAACCCGCATTTTATTGGAACAAGACGATTTTTCTTTAAAACGATCTATTTTTCATGTACAGCGACTTTTGTATAGAGACCCCACAGCCTGGTATACAGCAGGATGACAGACCTCTGTACATGAAAAATAGATCGTTTTTAAAGAAAAATCGTCTTGTTCCAATAAAATGCGGGTTATATCCTGCTAAAAGATGAGTGGTCTGGAGAAATTATTTTGATTGGAAATCACTACGGTATCACACTATGGTTTTTTCTTCTTCCTGATTTTCCCTGGGGGATTCGGTAAGAGGAGTAACCAGAAGAGGTATCTATATCCAAGAGGAGGCATTATTTGGAGGTCTTATACAAAGCAAAGGGGGTCCAGGAGCCCTTAATATCCCTGAAAGGCGTTTGACTAATGACTAGTGTTGGTTTTGCACTGGTGGATGGTGAAGGTATCAAAGGCACGGAAGAATCCAATGAAATTACAATATAATTAATTTTGTCACGGGACTGTTATTTTGGGTTTTTTTGTCACTGGACTTATTAATTCTAAAATCATTTATATACGGTATATTAATTTTTTATCACTATTTCATTAACACAAAAATGTTTTTGTGTCACAGTTTTTTAAATTTGAATATTTATTAATTACCAATTTAAAGGGTTGGGTGATGCAATTTATTATGTGGGTTTGCGCTGGTATCTTTTGATCCAAGTCATCATATGTTCATGTTCTCTGCTGCCATGGCTAGGTGTAGATATGAGATGATGATGCTCTTCATGCATTTCAGTAATAACACATTCTGTTGTCCTTGGGGTGGCCCTGAACATGACCGGCTCTACAAAATTCGGCCCCTCATAAACCACCTCACTGAGAAATTTGCAGATGTGTATACAGCCCAGCAAAACATCTGCATGAATGAGTCCCTGGTTCACTATTGGCCACCTTGCATTCAAACAGTACCTCCCCAGCAAACATGCCAGATATGGGGTCAAATTGTATAAGCTATGTGAGAGCGCCACAGGCTATACATATAATTTTAGGGTTTATGAGGGAAGCGACAGTGAAGTAGAGCCCCCCCGACTGCCCATACTACGTGGGGAGCAGTGGCAAGATAGTATGCTACTTGGTGTTGTCTTTGTTTCGCAGGGAGTACCAAGCGTGCCACTATTTGGACATCTGCACAATCTTGGAATTAGCTCATGTGGCACCGTGCAACCTAATCGCCGGTGTTTCACCCCACGGCTTGTAAACACCCGACTTAGAAAGGGGAGAAAGCCTGCTTGAGAAATGATGAATTGCTTGCAGTGAAGTGGAAGGACAAACCGGATATTTTCGTCCTGTCTTCCATTCGCGCAGACACAACCATCCAAATTTCCACACCATCTAGCGTTGAGAAACCCTTCTGTGTCCACGACTATAACCTTAACATGGGAGGGGTGGACTTCAATGACCAAATGATGAATCCGTTCCTAGTTTCCCGCAAAGTTCGACACCAGTACAAAAAGGTGTATTTATTTTAACTGGCTTTATAAAACACTTCTGTAAGTTACAAAGCAACTGGATGAAGTGGATCCTTCCTAAAATTTCAGGAAGAGAGATCATCATGGCCCTTTTGTATCCAGAAGGTGCTGTGGCCCAATTCTCAAATGCAGATGCAGTGAGCCGACTGCATGAGAGGCATTTTTTTTCGGATGTCCTCTCTGGTACCCCAACCCAAAGGTCACCCCAAAGAAGATATTGTGTCTGTAGCAGACATGGAATAAGACGTGACAACTGCTTTTTTTTGTCCCTCTTGTCCTGACCAACCTGGTCTCTTCCTCAAGGACTGCTTCCGTCGCTACTGCACACTAGTGAAGTATTAGTATAGGATAGGGTACAGCACAGTCTAGGGCACATGTTCACCATTTTCACACGGTCTCGAAAAAAGTTAGATAGGAAACTGTCTATCGCTTTTTGAGAGACCCAAAAACCAGAGGCTGTTTTTAAAAGTTAAAAAAAAAAAACCCCATAAAGTAAAAAAAAAAATTAAAAATAAATGATAAAACAATAACTTTTTTTTAGTTTTTTTATTTGAGTTCTATTGCTTTGTTTTATTGTCAACTGTTTGCTTTGCAGGAATACCATTCAATATAATAATCTTTCAGCGTCTGTGATATCCTCAAAAACATTTATATACATACTCTCAGATTTAATCCACCTTCATGAAGATATTCCTTTAATCAGTGAAATCCTCGAAAAAAGAAAACTCAATATAGTGCATTATCCCACACAAATATACAAAAAACATATAATGACCCTGTGGTTACTGACGTGTCACCCCACTTAGTGTCCACATCTAAATTGCTGTAATAAACACCCTTACCCTATCAAAACTTGTTTATAGCTCTCAATATCATATACTCCAAAACCGTGTTCCAATCCGTCTTTCTTTCTTCAATATTTCCTCAAAAAAATCAATAATAGTGCAATATCCTTTGGAAAAAAAAAAAGTCCTTCCCTAATATTCATGCTACACGTGTAAATGTGAGATACACTCTCCGCCACCTCACACACCAT